AAAGTACAATAGTTAACCAATTTCATCGATAGATGGTGGTGTGGCATAAATGTGATCCAAAAAGGCAGGTTAAAATTTATTCCTGTAGTTGAGTTTCATATTTGCTTCTAACCTTTATATTAATGACACACTGCCCTACTGCGTGTTGACAATCTCATTTATTTTTTATTTTTTTACCGCCGAGTACTCTATGTGGTAAATCAAATTTGAAGAGCTATTAACAATTTCGTTTTTCGGCGAGGATCAAACTTTCTTTTTTGCTTACTATGCAGGCACTGATTTATAAGTTCTTTTATGTTTTTTATTGTATCAATCGTATCAATTAATCTCTTATTTTTAGAATTGATGTTAACAGCGCCATCTCTCTTTAAATCTATACATATAATAAAAATGGTAATAACATGTTATGTCTGTTTCTGAATATTGTATAGTATATTAATTTGCGACTAAAATCATTATGGGGACTGTAAATCATTAAATAAGTACATGTTTATAATTTTTAGAATTGTACTATCTGACGGTCTGTCTGTTTGTTTATGGACGCATGACGTTTTGAGTAAACATCTTTTTTTCAAGGAAATCCTTAAGAAAATCATAAAGCGTCATCAAGTTCATTTAATCTTTGTTTTATTGAAATTGGTTAATTCTATCGAAAGTCATGATTATTATTTTGAAATGTAGGTTCGAATTTGTTTAATGGCGCCTCAAAATCTCAGAAATAGTAATAAAAAGATTCGTGTGTAAAAAAAAACGTTCTATTATAATATATTTCGTATCGTTCTATTATAGTACTTAAAACACAGTAAAAATATGTTTTCCTTAAATTAAAAAAGGATGTTTTCTCACAAAGAACGTAATAGATGGCGTTGTACAAATTACAACCTTTTCTGAATTGCGGTGTTAAGATTTTTCGCAGGTGAATCGTATTGAGACTCACTGTATTAATTTATGTCCATGAGGCTGACGAAGTTGCAAGCCTGTAAGGTATACATACAGTAATCTATGCCTGCCTGTAAGAACCGTGTAGGCTAACAACATATCACAAAAATCACCAGAAACAAAAACCAGGAAAAAGAGATATTGAAATATTCAATTATTCAACAAAACTCGACTAAAAGTAGCAAAATTGCAATAAATGTCGTGATAATGATATTGTTTTATACCCAGAATCCCTCTAATACCAAATAACTTTTCTTTCAGTTTTAAGTAAAGTAAAGTTGCAGCCTATTTACGTCCCACTGCTGGGCTCAGGCCTCCTCTCATTTCTGAGAGGGTTTTAGGGCAAGGAAATGTCCACCGCGCTGCCCCAATACGTGTTGGCGAACTTCACATGTCATCGAAATATTTTTTTATTTCTCAGACATGCAGGTTTCCTTACGATGTTTTCCTTCACCGCCGAGCACGTGGTAAATCAGCACTTAAAATTGCAATTAACAATTTCATTGGTGCCGGCGGGGATCGAACCCGGGTTGCTCGAGTACTGTGAAGCTTACAGCGAGCGCTAACCATCTGAGTTACCACGGCTCAGGCTTCAGTTTTAAGATAGGGATAATAACATCGATGTTGGCATCGCTAGCTCAACATCGATGTTCGATGTTTAGGCTACTCAAAACATCGATGTTGACCATTATCGATGGTTTTTGTATATGTGTAGATACTTACACATTGTTTCAAAATTATGTGGGTATACACAACAAGTGAAAAGTAACAATGAACTTGAATATCAATTTACGTAGAATAGTTATTATGCGACAACCGACAACGACACTACAAAATAAAGCAAAAGCAGTGACCATTGTGACATTACAGGAGACACTTGACAATTAAGTTGGACTCACCATACTGACATTTTTTTAGATTAACGATGCGTTCAGAAATTCTGAATTATTCAAAATTTTGATCTTCAGAGCAGATGCAAGATTTAGTTGATATTGATTTCGCGAGTTCGCATTGTTTGCAAGTTCCCAATTATCAATTATGGGTTCATTGACGTCGATGTTTCGATGTTTGACATATGTCAACATCGATGTTAAAACATCGAAGTTTTAATTTTTAACATCGATGATCATCTAACATCCCTATTTTAAGTGTGTTTCCCACTCAGCGTGTGTTATGCGACGATCGTAAATAAAGCGCAAGGTCAAACTTTACGCGTCAGTACTGATTGTTTTGCACATGGCCAGCTCTATGTTGCTTTTTCTCTCGTTAGTAGTCCCCGTAACCTTTTTCTGTACGCCCCGGCTAAGTCTACTTATATCGTCGTTTACACAGAAGCTCTATCATATACGGCTTAGAACTTTGAGAATATCGATTTATTTTGTTACCACTTATTCATACAGTAATGATATAAATCGTTTAATATTCTCTCACCCTAAACGTCAAATTCTTTAAGTAAAACCTATATTCGCGAGCTACGCCGCGGGCACAGCTAGTATACAATAAAAGATTTCTTTGGTGCTGTTTGGGATCCCCGCACAGGTTGCTCGTGAACTGTGAAATTTATAACGAGGGCTTAGCCCATGAGTTACTGCTAATCTCGTCATACCATGGCATAGCATTTCAATGTGTGAGACTTGTTGTCATAATGAATCCTTCATTTGGCAAATCAAATCAATATCATAAAGTGAATAAGGTTTTATCATGATCCATATTAACTTCATGTAAAAGTAATCTCCTGTTCTGATAATATAAATTCGCCGGAAATTCTACGGAGATTAAATTTCCTCGCAATTTCCTCACCTGTCTTCAGCTGTTGTTTTTCTTCTACAGTTTTATACAAAATGTAAGTATGTATGTACATATTCAAAGGGCTCTTGTCTTTATAAACCTTCCCTCGGTTTAAGAGAACTATGGAATTTTTAGATATGATTGCAGGAGACGCAACAAATGACTTTAGTATCTTGGGAGAGGATGAGAGAAGTAAACCTCTTATATCTAAATGGGATGATGTAAATAAGCCTCTGAAAATTATAATTTATTAAACGCTTTTTTTAGAGACTCGGTCCGTCAAGTCCACACAAGTTGAAGTTTCAGTTATGTTTTAATTATATACGCGATTGATAGTTGCCGGTGGTTTGATACTTTATTGAGGATACGAGTAGATGTAGATGTTTATGGGTCACAGCAACCATTTACCATCAGGTGGACAGTGTGTTCGTTTGTCACCCTATCCTATAAAAAAAACTTAGTTACCTATTTAAATTCCTAAGGTGTCTCTGACTGCCTCTTTTCCAGTAAAAAAATCTCGGGTTCTCGACACTCACCATACCAAATTTATGTTGCCATTTGCTCTTTTAATTATGTGCGAACGTGACCTTTAGTGCCTCCCAGGTTAAGCCGACCAGCAATGCGTGATACAGCCATAATTGCAGCGTGGCTCTACCATTTACGTACCTTTCTTCGGACAATACCGTGTTTCGCTTTATGTTGATTTTAGTTTTCATTTTTTTTCATTAAGGCCTATCAAAAGTCCAATGCTGAACAGGATTCACCCATTTGTTGACACGCTTGGCAGGCTGGTTGGCAACCGGTTTTTATTATTTTACATTGATATCAGTAAGATTCTGCTAGTATATACGGTACTAATAACAAAAAGACCATTTTTAAAGTTTTTGTCTGTCTGTCTCTTTGGTACGGCTAATCACCGAAACGGCTGGACCAATTTTGACGGAATTTTCACTGGCAGATAGCTGATGTCACAAGGAGTAACTTAAGCTAATTTTGTTTTAGAAAAATAATTAGAATTCCGCGCAAAAAAGTAAGAACCTAAATTACACGCGGGCGAAGTCGCGGGGAACAGCTAGTTGTAAATATTGTATTATGCTATGTAAATAACTCAAAAAGAGTACTATAACCGTAGTAATGATGTGATAGATACCCTTCCGGCAGATTTGCGTCCAGATTATAAATTATTAAATGCTAGTAGACTATAAGGTTTAACAAATATAAGATAGACAAACAACCAGACCGTAAGTCCAAAATTTTTGTTTTTGCCTGTAGTTGGATTCGGCTGCAGCTCAACACCCGTGACGTAACAGCCAGGATGCTCTGAACACTAAGCCATGCGCGCATTAAAATATTTTACTTTTTCTTCATCATTAGCCTGTATCATGTTCAGCTCATGTTCAAGCACATGAGCTTCTCCCATAGTGAAGAGGATTTTCCTTAATCGTCACTCTTGACAGCCAGATTGACGATCGCAGTACCCAACGTCCTGCACCTTTAACGCTGTTGCCCATCGCCAGTCTGGATATTTTATATTTATTTAAATATAGAAGTTTGGCTTCAAATGTGAAGAGAGCATTTTAATATAATTTGAGACGAACAGGGTGACTAAGTAATCGCTGCAGAGTGCATGTATCATATATAATATACTAGCTGACCAGGCAGACGTTGTTCTGCCCTTTCCGACGACCATTTGCTTTCCTAAAAAAAACTCCTGAGATTAGCAATAAAAAACTTGAGGTTTACTTATCAGGATAAAAACTATCCTATCTCTCAAGTTGGACCAAAGTGCACACAGTGTGCAAAATTTCATTGAAATGAGATCAGTAGTTTAGGAGTTCATCGCGGACAAACAACGTGACACGTAATTTTTATACATAAAGATTATATCTCCTATTTTAAAATTTTTAAATGCCTACGCATACTCGCTTCGCGAGGGTAAGGAAGGACTGATTATGCTGGGGTCTTTTTTTAATGTGTTCTTACTAAAGTATACTCGTATATGTCTTACATCACAGTTTTAAAATATTTAAAAAAATCCGAATTTGGAAACATTAATAGCTACACTCGACGTCTCATGAAACACAGAAAAATTTGATCTGAAAAGAGCTATTATATTGTCCGCATGAAGCAGAGGAGCTGCTTTACGAGTCTAGTACTACGCGCAGCAGGACTACAGATATGTCCGACGTGAGCACGTGATTGCTGAGGTGCAAATAGCGCGATTCGCGCGCCCATTCACAGCGTTATACCATATATTATGTCCGCGTGAAATCACACGCGGGCCGTTTCTTAAAATCCAAGAGTACAAAAGATTCGCGCTATTGTCCTCTCGTTCATATTTACGACCAATCGCATGTTAGATGATAGTAAGATTTAATATTCGATATTATAATGTTAAGATTATTAATATTTTAATGTAGACATTTTCATCGGTTAGACATTTTGTAAATTTTGTAAATTTTTTGTATAACAGGAGTCACATTTTGGCAATAAATCGTACTACACATTCTACTTATTAAAAAAATTTCAGTATAAAACTCCAACTTCTAAACGTGTAAAAGCTCTCTGAATTAGATGTGGACAAGGGAAATACCTTACGTACAGGCCGATTTCGCTAGTCATTACTAGCTAAAATTATTTATAATGTTTTAACCAATATGTGAAGAGGCACGTGAAGTTGCATGACGCTCAATTTAAATTTCGGTCCGATGGTCTGAACTACCGTGAGTGACCGCAATTTTGAATCTGAAGCATATTATTACACTACAGACACACTTTTTGCTGGTCCTTTCGTTGGCTTTTGATTTGGTATGGTACCTTCACGGTGAGCAATGCGAGATTCAATCGGCGACCATGAACGTGATTGAATGACAAACGTCTTTTACAGATGAACGTTCACATTTTTAAAAGGAAATAAAGAAAAATAACTTACCTAATAATAGATTAAAAAATTCGAATTTGCCAATAAACTACAAGTAATTCGATTTTTATTTTCAGATGCTGGGTCGACGGTTTAGACACTAACGAGTCAATAGCAGCATGGAACTCAACAGAAATATTAGCGGCAATTCCTTCCACTTTCGACGGCAAGATACACAATTGCTTTATGTTTAACGAATACAATGAAACAGAAAAATGCTCCAAATGGGTTTTTGACACCAAATATAGATCGTCATCGCGCGCTATTGAATGGAATTTCGTTTGTGATAATAGATGGAAGGGAGCTGTAGCGCAAACTGTTTACATGTTAGGAGTATTCACAGGCGCAGTTGTATTAGGAGGAATGGCAGACAAATATGGCCGTAAAACAATATTTTGTTGGTCCGGAGTTCTACAATTAATTCTTGGAGTAGTTGTGGCATTTATACCTGAATATTGGACGTTTTTAGTCATTCGATTCCTGTATGCAATATTTGGATCAGCTGGCGCTTATATCACTGGTTTTGTTTTGACTATGGAAATAGTTGGAGCGAGTAAAAGAACAGCTTGTGGGGTGACTTTTCAAGCGGCTTTTGCTGCAGGTATAATATTAGTAGCAGGTTGGGGGGCACTTATAGACAATAGACAAATTTTACAAGTCGTTTACGGATTACATGGTCTATTATTAATTCCACACATTTGGATAATGGATGAATCTCCGCGCTGGCTATGGGCTCAAGGTCGAGCCAAAGAAGCTGTAGAGATAGTCGAAAAAGCTTTAAAACTTAATAAATCTGAGGTAGTGTTGGATAAAGCACAACTAGTGTCAAAAGGGAAAATACAAGTAAATGGTGATACCGATGCTCCTTCTGCCAGTACGATAGATTTATTTAAATCCCCAAATTTAAGAAATAAAACTTTAAACGTTTGTTTGTGTTGGTTTGCAAACTCATTAGTATACTATGGGTTGACACTCAGTTCCGGCAAGATAGAAGGTAATCCATATTTAATAACTGCTATTTTTGGATTTGTGGAATTTCCAAGTTACGCTGCAGTAATTTACTTCCTTGATATTTGGGGTCGAAGACCCTTAATAAGCTCTATGATGTTAATTGGTGGTGCCGCATGTATAATTGCTGCTTACTTACCGTCTGGAAGTATATTAGCAACATCTATTGTTATAGCAGGAAAGTTATTTATTGCGGGATCATTTGCCATTATTTACAATTACTCTGCTGAACTTTTTCCTACAGTTGTAAGAAACTCAGCTTTAGGCTTAGGTTCTATGTGTGCCAGGTTATCAGGAGCTTTGACACCTTTGATATCACTACTAGATTCCTTTGACCCGAAAATTCCTGCGGTGTTATTCGGTGTTATAGCTCTTGTATCTGGCTTTTTAACTCTATTCTTACCTGAAACAACAAATCAACCAATGCCCCAATCTTTGGCTGAAGGGGAAAGTTTTGGGAAGGGAGACACGTGTTTCACTACTTGTCTGGGTAAGAAAAGAAGTAAAAGATATTCTGTGGAAGATAAAACACCTGAGGCCATGGTTCCATTAGAAGACATGAGCAAAAAAGTTTGAAACACTAAATGGACTTTAAAATTAAAACGGTTCGGACAATATTTTACAATGTCTAAAATAAATAGTACGTAAACAAATACTGCGCTTGGAGTAAGTGCGTTACTTTCTAATGTTTAAGAATCTCCCTGAAAGAACAAAAATCTCAACTAAAACTATGCATAAAGGAAAACACCAGCTAACTTAGATTTATATGTTTTAGAAAAATTATTTTTAAAATTATGAAATTAAAATTATATAATATGTCAGGGCTAAAAGTCGAAGTGCTGTTCTAACCTAGGTTTAGCCGGTTACCCAATTGCGGTTGAGTATTAGACATGTTCAAGGTTAAAACTAGGTAGCTGGTTGCTTTCGAGTAAAACAGGTATAGATAAGTTCGAATAATAATTAAAATGCCCATGACTTCTATTAATCTAGCATCTATCAATTATCTATTTATCTATTACTTTATTATTTAGTACGCCTTGAGAAAGAAATAAATGGATTTTTAATTTTTTTTTAATCAATTAATATCAGCGACAGTAGGTATATGTGTATGACTTCTGTTAAATTTGTCTCAAATACGAAAGTACACATCAAGTAATACCGGCGACAGTAGATTAAGATGCAACTGGGGTGTCCCTTGGACCACTCCAAAGCCGTGGACATTATTAATACTTTTAAATTATTCGGACAAAACGAATACACCTAAGTCTATAGAACTGCTTTTAACCAACCGCATTTGGCTGCACCTGGTTGTATCCCGCTAAACATAGGTGTGTTCGTATCTTGAGCTTTTATTCGTAACATATAAATATAATTTATAAAAAAATGTTAGGTAATATAGATAATATTATATTATTATGTTAAGTAAGTGTGAATGTTAGATAAAAAAAACTTAAAAAGTACTCCTTAATTTTATAATTCTCATGGCAAAGTGATTAACAAGGAACTAAAATGAACTATTCGAAATATATAAGTTTAAACCTAGTTTAAAATTTTAAATCCTCAGTTCCTTTAACGCACCAAAGTATTCTAAACATTGTAAGTAAGATATTATGCTAATAAAGATGTAATTTTTAACAGACTTCCATACATTTGTAGGATATAAATTCGAATGTATTGTTTTTGATGTACTATGTTACTACAATATCTTTGAGGTTAGATAACTGATGCTTAGGTCTAAAAAAATACCAAATGTAATATATAATCAAAATAATAAATCATACTGATTTATAACATATAAATCACAAACGGATCTAATGATGATTGAAATCTGTTTTACTCTTTTAAAAAATTAAATTTTTAAAGACATTAAAATTCTCGAAAAAGACGTTAAATGTTATAATTTTGTTAATAGTACCTATATTAGTAAAAGGTATGTAAATATTGATGTTGTATGCTATATTGGGAAAGCCATATATTTTTTTTAAATCAAGAATATTTAGTGCCTCCTTCAATTTCTAAAATTATTACGTACTCATAGCTCTACATCTCAGATTGCTGTAAATAAAGCCGGTGCCAAATATAGCAACAACATTTGAACACTTATTCGAAGGAATTTGAACACTTGTTTGAACACTTATTGGCGCAGAACGCAGACATGCTATGCAAATGCATCTCTTCACAGTACCAATGTTGATAAACGACAAACGAGATGGACGACGATTTTGTGGATGCAGTGTGCCTGTAATTATTTATTACATGTGCAAAAAAATCTATCAAAACGGCCGAAAAGTAGGCGCGAATGGATGTACATTACATTAACACTCACGTCTGTCACCCGGAGTGGTAGGCAGGGACTACGGACTTCCATTTGCCACGATCCTGACACACCTCTCTCGCCTCTTTTACATCCACATATCTATGCATACATACATGCTCGTCGATTAAGGGTACTCGCTACTAATCTAGTCCATTTTCAATTTGAACACTGTCGACTTTGAACGCTTTGATGTGCGCCAAAAAAACCGAAATCGCTTGGCAAAGTGCATTTCTTTGCGCACTTATTTGAATAATATTGATTCAAAGTCCCGTGCCACACATAGTTTTAAACAAGTGTTTAAACGTTTAAAGCTGTATCTAACGCCGGCTTAAGACTGCTGCGCACATTTAAACTGATGTGATGTAGCAAACTAAGTCAAAACCATGCCCTACTTATTGAAAAAACATGCACTCGCATGCTCATTAGCATCTAAAAATTTGTAGTCAACAACATGCTTTGGTCTGCATATATTATGTACGACTTTTACGGGCTGTTAAAAAAGAAACAAGAAAGATGCGTGCGTGAGTTCGCATCAAAAAGTTGAGCATGGTTTCGGCGTCACTTAAAATGTACGCATCGCCCTAATATTTCTTTATTGGCGCCCTAATATTTTTTTGGGGCTTACAGGTTTAGATAATATTTTCGGTACTTTAGGTTATTTACCAAAGTGACTAGTTGACTTGTATATTTGTTATAAATGTGATGTAATATGATATTTCTATTTAATGTTTTAAGTTAGGATTTTAAGCTTTTTTAATGTTAATTGCAATTTTAAAATAATTTCTTCAAGATACAAGGTACATCCTGTACCTACATGTTAACTTGTCATATTATCAGAGTAAACGATTGAACTTCGAACTATTGTTATTGTCACTTTCATACGAGTATAAATAAAATTGGATCTGCGAAAATATATTACTATAACAAATTAATGCAGCTAATTATTTTGCTTCCTCTTTTTGCCTTTAAGTAGGTGCTCACCAAGAAAAGTAAATACGTGTGGTCGTAGCCGTTCTGCTCCGCTATGTTTCATCCATACCATACATAATATATAGGTAGGTATACACATCAAAAAAGTTTGTGATCACTGGTAAAAGCTGATATATTTTCAAAATTTAACTTTAGGAAGAAAAAGTTTTTACGTTAAGTATATCGTTTTTAAATAGAAATACACTGTTTCAAATTACTCTTTTTTTATTATTTAATAACATAAATTGGGTAATTCAATCCTAATGTAATTGTAAAAGTAAAACTTAGAAAACCTAATTGAAATCTATCCAGTAATTTTTTCCGTGATGCGCGCAAAACTGCAAACCTCTATTATTTTATGTATATAGACAATATAACTCCTCCCCTGGCTCGAACACATGCGGAGATCCTCCTGGAAAATCTGAGCATCAAGTTATCCAGCATTTCTCGCGGTAACCTGTCCCATTCTTGAATAGCAGCTTCCCTGATCTCTGGCACTGTCTGGGGAGGTGGCTGACGGTTTTAAACATCAGCATTGACTGGTTGAACTCGATGTGCGATCACATTATCATCAACCAGTACGAATTGGTGCCTATGGTTTACTCGGAATGGTCTGACAATTCCATCAATAGTGACTGTTTTGTACCTATCTGCCGTCATAGAGCCTCGATACGGGATTAAAGGCGTTCGGGCTCCAATCATTATTCCCCCCCTAAATGACACCGATTTCCCGCCTTGTTGAACGGTCCCAGTGGCAGCTTTTTACCTTTCAGAGTCTCCAGGTCTTCTCCAGACACAGACAAGTCGGTTATCTTGATGTATACTGAATCGCGATTCGTCAACGAAGATACAGTTTGGCCAAATGTTATCCACCTCATCTTCTTCATTTTGCCGGAGCCTAGCCCACAGTAATCTCCGTGCTGACGTTGTTGTGAATTCAGAGGTGCTGCCAACACCTCCGTGCTCGTAGTCTAGCCTGGTGTAAGCAATTCCGAATGGTCTGAGTGCTAACTTTAATTCCAGAGGCGGCCCGCACTTCTACTTTTACTGTAGTGACGTTGATTGTTGGATCACGAGCTGCCAGCAATCTGATATAAAGCTTCTAAGCAGCAGTCAGGACAGTTGGGCAACCACTGCGGGGTCAATCAGCTAAATTATGCATGCCGTGGTACCTCTGCAACGTGGCCACGACACATGATTGGGATACAGCAACTTTGTGTGCTATTTTTTAGTGGAATATCCTTCTTCCCTCAAAGTCACAATTCTTGCTCGTAAAACTTCTGATAATCCTCTTGGCATTTTTTCACTTTCCTCGAAAAAATATTTTAAATCCATTAAAATTGACTAAGTCAGATTTCCTAACCATAAAACCTTAATGTTGGCTTTCTACTAGGTCTATAGAGCCCAAAAATGCAGTTAATTTTTTTAATACTTTTTTTTTATAGTTTACTCATAAATCCACCCGCACGATCACGTGTCGAAGGTCGTACACGACATAGTCACGATCGTGTGGATAGTTTAAACTAGTAATCAGTCTCTTTATTAATTATTTAGTTATTTTAAATATTCAGTCTCATATAATTTTTCTTAGAACTAACCATTAATTCGAGCCTTTTGCAACAAGATACAAAATTTTCTGTAGAACAGTAACAAAATAAAACAAACTTCTAAAATTTTACGCTACGATAAAAATAATCTGAATTAATGCTCCTCAAACAAATCAGGAACTATCAGATCATCTTTTGGTATGGTAAGACTTGAAACAATCTTTGCCACGTGTGATATACAAATACGTGTCGCTTTTTGTACAGCCTAGGCTATATTTTAGGTGCTTTTATTTCGTCAAACACTGGAATATGTTTGTATCCATCACACCGCTTTGCTTCAGATGGTCTGTATTGTCTTTTCGGAAGAGGAGATTAATTTTCATTCAGCGGCGAACCAGGATAATGGCCGGTTTCTTACCGGCATGCTTGAAAATCCATCAGCAATGTTCATGCGGAAGTCTAACAAGGGCAAAATTTCCTTCCAGCTTAATTTATTTGCATTGTCTGGCATTATGTGGTATTACGATACAGTCACCAAGAATTGACAATCGCCAAGTAAAGAAAGTTTGTCAGTATTTTCAGTGTCCATATTTTTGTTTTAATGAATATCTGCTGGTCCAGAACATCAATTTCAACCAACACATGAAGGGTCCCATGTGTTGGTTAAAATGCTCCACTACTTATGGGGCATGTAAGTCTACATACATCTTCATGCGTTTTTCCCAGTTCTTGACGATTGAAGATCAGAACGAGCCGGTGCAGTTTGACGCCATTAAAACGGACTTATCGTCTTTCCATTTGACGACGACCGTCGGTTAGCAAACGTATTGCTGCGATTCTTCGCGAGTCATCCTAGCATCTGGTTTAAATTTAATCGCAGCACGGTTAGGGTTCCTGTTGAACATGATTGTTCCCGTGCTGTGAAGTACTCTTTCAAGTTTGTTACACGCTACTTTTAACCGGTCAATCATCGGCTGCACTTTCAAAATATTGTTACTATTACTCGGCGGGGCTTCATCAGCATCTATGACGTGCAATGCATTGCGGTCAGTCAAAAACCTATCACGAGGCATTTATTGAGTTATTATCTCCAGTTTTATTCCAACTCTCCAATACATCGGGACACGGGGGTAGGGAATACATCCAATGATGATGTGTATCGCAAAAACTCTGGCTACTTCAAACGACGTAAATTTCTGTTCCAGTCCCGTTTTTCTGTGATGGTATATGTCAAAAAATTATGTGTTGAAATATTCTGAGAAATAGTCCATTAGAGTCCTGACAGGAGTCACGGGCAATAGAGCATAGTCATGACTACAATCGTCGAAAGTTACTTGCTTCCAAATTCTCGTTCGAGGAGGTGGCCGCGAAGATCGAGGGCGTTGAGTGGTGGTTATGGTCCAGGAGTATCTTGCATTAGTTTCGGGTGTGGTTCAGGCTCTGGATCATCCAACTGAAGATCTTCGAAAGTGCTGAGTTGGATTTCGTCATCATCGTCCACGAAATATTCGATGTCGTAGAAGTTTCTATCGTCCAGCACTTGTATAACTTAATCTTCGTTCAAACTGCCTAAAAAGTAACAAGTACAGTACACACTCTCGAATAACATTTCGGTAGTCGACCGGATCGTAGCGGTCGAACTTTGCAACGTAATTCTAACTAAACCGTAAAGATCAACACAAAATTAAAATATTCTAGGTATTGAGATATCTTTTAACTTAAAATAATTATAAAGCACAATGAAATACTTTTCAATTACTAATAAAAACAATTACCTGCGGCGGGGCTAGAATCGAAAAACGCAGCCATCTTTCAACTCACTGGTGACCACAAAGGCGTACTCTGTGCTGGTGACTGACTGCTCCCCACAGAACACTAATACCCTTAGGCGGGCTGCTCCCACTCCACCCGTCCGTGTGATTTTCCGCGCGTAATGGCGGCTCTTCACGTTGGCCAACATAGTGGCGAATGTGTTGGCAAAGATATTGGCCAAGAATTTGTGATCGCGTCCACACGTTGGAAGGTCGTTCAGTTTGCTTCGGTTCAGGCCAATGTGCGGACGAATTTATTAAAATGATTATTGAAGCGCTAACGGCTGTTGCGGTTTATTTATTCACAGCATACCACTATTTTTATTTAATTTTCACTATTTTTAATATTTAATTTTTTTAATATAAATTTTTAATATTTCTTTATTATACACTAACTTTATACAGATAAGTAAACTATATAAACATTAACACACCTAGGCATAGGTATAATTAACACATTTACAACTAAAGCCTGGAAAATATTATCGCTCTTCCATAGCTAAAAATTACAGTATTATTAACGAAATAAAATAACTAATAGGGAATAATAAAGACAGTAAAAACATGATTTTAGTATCCCATCTTTTAATTTGATTTTATCAATAATATTGATTTTAGTATCCTAGCATTAATACATCAATAAATCAATTAATACATCAATAAATAAATTAATACATTAATCACTACAACGTGACTGTGTATAAGAAAAGGGTGATCAAAAAGAAATGGAAAAAAAGAAATTTCATTTCTTGACGGCGCCGTGGCATAGTGGCTTAGCAATGAGTTGCTGCGCTGGGGGCCGCGGGTTCGAATCCCGCACGGAACAAGTATTTGTATAGCCTGCACATAATTGCTCCGGGTCTGGATGTTTGTCCTTATGCAATTTATGTTTCTAAACTGCCTCCACGATACGGGAGAAAATCCTAGTGTGGTGTAACGTTTTTTTAAAAAGACTTGTGTTTCACAAACAATTTTCGGCTTGGTAGGGCTCTATAAAGCGAAAAGTTTTTTCATTGGTCATTGTTACTGCCGTTATGTAGACACTAGTTACGATGCGTGCATATATGAATTTAAATCAGGTGCGTGCAATCACTCTGGGAGCTTGTAGCAAACTGAACGTGCGTCCAACTTGTGGATGCGGCGGCCAATACTCTGCAACAACCCTTTGATCTTTTGTAAAAAACCGACACCAGACGGATCTCGCGCCAACTTGTAGGCCATCGTTCCAATACGTACCAACGTAGCTTAAACACCCGCTCTACACGATGGCCATCGTTGTTGGCCAACACATTCGCCAGTATGTTGGCCAACGTGAAGAGCCGCCGTAAAATACATCTAATGAACATTGAGCTATTATGTACTACGTACTAGAGGCGACACTGCATTATGTTACGCTGTTCCATTCAACTGCGGTGATATTGCCGCACTTTACTCAGTCGCTCGCTAAGCGTTAGTGAGTTGACACATGCTGTGTTGATTATATAAAAAATTCTTGATAAAATACGCCATGGTGTGTTTTAGAAATTGCACAAATTATTCAAGAAATGTTAGCAAATACCAAGGAATAACTTTTCATCGGTGAGTAAAATACTTAATAAAAAGG